AAGATAAATAAGCGAGTCATGACAATCTACAATTACATGCAATTTGTTGTTAGATCCTTCTAATATTTTCCAAGGGAGAAAGGAACTAAGAACATTGAATTTTATTGATATATTTCTCCATTACAAGACCTCTTAACTACCAATTCCTACATTATTATCCTATGTTTCTAACGACACAAAAATCAACCTATAGCTAGGTCCCTTATTTGGGATGATATCTCCTACAAGGAAGGTTCTTTTCCGAATATATGTATACTTCTTCATTTTGCATCTAGATACTCTAGCTACAACTACTAGTAGTACTTGTTTTGCCGTTACTACACAACAAGGAAGAAAAATCATTAGGTTATAGAGCAATACAAGCGAACAAAGGATCATTTAGAGAACCAATGTATTGGCCATCTATTATCTAATATAAGGCATAGTTAGTAAATACTTCGTTTAATACACGTATATGTACCCGTACATATTTTATCAGTTTAAAACTTTCGTATCCGTATTATTGTCAAGTCGTTTCATTTGTTTCCGTTCATTTGACGGCTCCCGTACTAAACACGTATAAAACCCATATAACACGTTTAATATCCGTATTTAATGAATTAAATTATTAACTTTACTATTTTTACATATTTATTTATTTTTAAAATAATTTATTTTATATATTTATGCTATTAACGTACTATTAAACGTAACATTAGCTTAGAGATGAAGTAAAATACTCGTACGTATTTTATACATAACTTTCCCGTACCATATTTTACTAAGTATCCATTCGATCAAGTGCCACACATCAGATGTTAAATGGTCACTTGATTAGGCATCGTTTACAAGATATCTGGCTTGATCAATGGTGTCTATGTGTCCAAGCACCATTCAAAGATAGGGATCTCTAGGCTCGATCTCCTTGTAGGTATGAACACTTACTACTCATATGTTTTCAAAAAGAAAGAACCTTATTTTGTTTGAGGTACATATAAACGTTTTAAGTAAAACAAGTACGATAAAGAAAAAAATGACAATAACGATGATATAACACAACCCTAACACCTCTCTCTCCTTCCTTCCTAAAACAAAAAACACTTGAGAACAAGTTATAAGTCATTGCTCACATCTTGAAACAAAAATATGAAAGGAATCAACCATCATTTCCCTCCTTTTGCAAAAGCTCGTAATGTCCAAAATTACAATTTTTGTTGGGTGGATGACATGAAATGACCCCAAAATCCATGTAAAGGACAATAGGGAATATCTTTGTGTCTTCTGTCTTTGGCTAATCGGATTGGATCAATACAAGAGCAAGCTAGGGCACCCAAATGTAGCATTCTAGCTAGTAATGGTGGCACTCCACGATCGAACCCATTTTCGTGACAAAACTTGGTGCATTTTTTAGAGAGAATCATATAATCATCTTTTCAGTCCCCCAAAATTTGATTTATCTTTTCCCATTTGTGTGAACATTTGATGTAACTCTTCACCCCATTTTTAATTAGTGATAGATTTGATTTTCTTTTTCTTTTTCTTTCCCATTTAGAGTTTAGACCTTAAGGGAATGTTCCCTTGGTATTATTCACCATCATTAGTTGACAAATGACTTAGAAATGTGCACACTCTATGTATAAGAATCATCTTTAATTAATTTACTAGAGTTTGTATTCTATTGTTGCATTGATATCATATTCAGTCACCAGACTAATTTTTGAAATAACGAATGCAACTATCGCTTTGTCCACCATTTAGTTCTCATCACATAGACTATCCGATTTAACTTATAAATCAGAATCGATCCATACCAGATACATTACTCAGCCCAATGCAAGCTCGCATTACTCGAAATTGCTCTATCACAATACAACGCTAATCAAAGAGTTCACGTGACATATTCTATTATTAAGTTGGTTGAGACGGCACACACTACTCTTTGACAATTCAACGTGACTATTCCGTTAACTATTCTAAACTCAAGTGACGGGTTACCTAAAAAAGCCAAAATTTAGTGACTGATTTGTTAGTAATACCATCCCCCTATCTCCACCCCAAGTTTAGTGATTGCTCAAAGTGTAATTGACCCCTGTAAAAGTGACTGGCCCGATTAGCTCATAGTCATGGATGGTGTCCATTCCATTTCTTAGCCAAATGCGGAGAATGGGTTGCTCTCTTTTACTGTTCATATGGTCTATCAATAATGACCAATACTAGTAGGAAACACCACTATTGCGACGACAATTGGAAAAGAAAAAAAGAAGGAGATAGCCCATTTGGGGTTTTTAGAATATAATCTCCTTAGTTATAATTAAGGGGAAGAAGAAATCTATATAAAGTGAGAACTAATATTTATATATTCTATCAACTGATGAGTAATAAAACAATATATCGGTTTGATCATATCTCAAAAACCTTCAACTTGCTGATACTTGATACCAGCAGTACTGCAAAAAAAGGTTCTAAAAGGGGGGAGATGGTGGAATGATGATGATCAAGTTGTGGCAATTTGCCAAATAGTTGATTTACATAAAAGGTTGGGAGACAAAATCCCATGTTATTTGCATCTGATGAGAACATATGCAATTGAATGAAGACCCTTGTTGTCAAAATGGTATCTTTAGGTGGATTTGGATTAGGGGGGAAAAAAAGCATATAACTCATTAGACTAATTTGGGACTTAGGGGGAGAAGCTTAATTAAAAAGCTCAAGGTGATCAGGTTGTGGGCCTCAAACATGTGAACAAGCTCAACAATCAATTCATACCAACCGGCTAGGCGTGCATTTCAAACCGTATAAGGTGAGTGAAACGGATATTGTTATGTGTTCTCAATGGCCAGATGGCTGAAGTGGCATGAATAGTTGTTGTGTTGAAGGAAATTACGAGCAAAGAAGTCGGATCGATGGTTGTCGCAAACCCACTTTTCACGTGCATCACGATTGCCAGATCTCATTTTTCGGCTCGTGGGAAGGCCAAGAAGGCACAAAGATGTATGAATTCCTATTTCATTGAGGCGAGCACAACATGCATGTATGGAGCTATAGTCTCCTACGATACATTGATAAATGATTTCCATCAAACGAAGATGTTTCGAGGACCAGAAATACCTCTTCTATACTTAAGTTAATTGACATTCGATTATACCAATGAATCGTTCGATTGAAACCAAATTACCATCACATCCTCTTAACCCAAATGGCTTCCCTGATCATAAATAAAGAAAGTAAAGGGACAAAAATTCGAAGCAATTTGATGAATTTTCAAGATGTTTGTCGTATCTCTTCTCATCACTTACCCCACACCTATCTTCCATTCTTCATGACATGTAATTGTCGTCCTTCCAATGATACCATTATCCTCTTCTTCCTTCTCATCTCTCTCTCTCTGTTACACACTTTCTCTTAACCTTTGGTCCGTTTCTCAAAAAAAACCTTGGCTCTCAATGGCGACCATCATGGAATAAAGCTAGCAACCACAAAGAGTCGAGGCAGATGGAACCAAAAGTTACCATGCAAGCAAGCAAACAACATTAATAAGAACAGGATATGGTGTGTTTGTGGAGCCTGGGCCAAGGTGTCATTCCCAGGCCCTAGCAAGGTTTTACTAGAAAGCTGCACCAAGATGCAGATAGCTCATCACTAATAAGACACTAACCCTCCAAACCAAAGGGTCCCTTAGGGTTTTTGGCCCTAGTACCCAGAATTACCCATGGAAATGCTGCCTCAACTTACTATCTATGGTGCAATGGTTCAAAGATAAAGGAGAATACAAGTTTTTTTGACAGGACTGAAATTCCCTATGGATGCTTGGCTCTTGCTTGCTAGTGGGAAGCCATTTTCAGTGTTTCATGGATTAGGACTACACACAAATAGCAGTATCTTCCTCTCCCTATCTCCCTATATGTCACTTCATCGAGCAATTAGTGTCGAGAGAATCATCTGGTATAGTTCACTTTAAACTCTTTTCAATAATTCCGTTGGTTATCAGGATGAAGTAATTTTTTTAACGAGAGGAAAAAAAACTGTGTATAGGACTGAATTCTGTTGGGGGTACCATTCAGGTATCATATCGAAAGAACTAAGGAAAGTTTTCTGGTTTATACTTGTCCACCTAGCCCCTTTTTTAGTACGAAATTGCTGAAAAACAAATCTGTACAAGCTTGGCTCGGAGGGGAAAGTATTGTACTGATGTAGTGCATTCTGCCCCGACAAATTCATTTTTCACATACTAATTTTGTCAATCAAGCGAACAAATCGTTATCTTGTTTGATTCGTGTAATATGTTGTCATGGATCAATAATTTAGATCTATGATCTAGTTTTCTTTCTTGATTTCCTATTCGATCATCTCCACTAACATGAACCGATACAACTCGATCGGATCGATCTACTCACGACTCGTCGGTCTGTACAAATCGGGTCATCGAACCCTCCACATATCTTCTCTAAGGTTGCTTTCAAGTTACAACCCACTGCCTGCTGAAAGAGTGGGAGACGTCGTCACTCTGAAAGAGGACCCTCCCTCAGATATGTCTAATTGTCGACCTCCAATATTCAACGAGCAGAATAAAGTGAGAAGAAGAAGAAAAAAGTCTGGCCAATTGGGTTTGCAAAACCAAACCCACCCAGTTTGACACATCCATTCTAATTTCTATTCTATACACAATCAATGCCTTTGGGGAACACAATGCACCGGCTGCCGGGCGTGATTCAAACGCCGCCACGCGTGCTCTCAAGATCCATATATGCCATAGATGCCTTCCCTTCTTCTTCTTCTGTGTAATGTCTCCTCTAATGATAAAGCTCTCAGCTTGTTGGACAGAGACATGGGAATAAGGATCTTTCTTTTCTCTTGCTGAAACTTCACTCCCTAAGGCACTAACATGTTGTTCCTGCTGAGGAATAGTATCTACAGCCGACAAGTCGTCCGAAAGTTGGCTCTGTAGGGAAGTCGAATATATATATGGGTATAACTTAGGATACACATATATGTTTTACAGGGTGGTTACATGATGCTCGAAATGTCAATGATGATACCCCATATTGTCATAACCAGAATAAAGGTAAAAGATCGATGTCACGAAACGAAGATACACAGCAGCTCGATGCCTTGTGGATCGAATCGTTGTGCAGCCCTAGTTAAGCAGCCAAATGGAGAAAACAAGCAAAGAGAGCAAGCAAGAGAGTTCTGGTTATATTTCAACATGATCAGAGCCTGCAGGAGAGAGTGATCACTCACACCTACTGTCAATTATTGATACAATGGAATGCCAGTAGGCAGGAGGGCTATAGCTAAAATGACACACACTCAGGGGCACTCTCAGTGGAGATGGGGGGAAAGGGTAAAAAAAATGGTACAGATTTTGGTTCAGGGGATCGACAGACCATTTTTTTCCTTCGTGTTACAGAGTTTTTCTCAGCGATCCCCTTCCTTCATCCCCAGTGACATGATAAGAATATGTGACAAATCTTCCCCTTGACAGAGCAGAGCTACTGGTTTTTTTCCGTTTAAGGAGGTCATACTACTCGCCGCTGATCATAACTGATTGATGAGGTACCCGCCTTATTTCTACAAACGATGAGTACTCCCTGCTCATCGGCTGCTTCCATGGCTCCCCGTCCATCTGGAGGAACGAATCTCTCCACTCTCCTCCCCTCATCTCGAGTCTGATTGCTGCAGCCTGAGGAAAGGCAGATAGGAAAATTGTTGGATCAAGTGACGTTTTGAAGCACATTGCTACATTGCTGTCTAGTTTGCTTCAAGTATGGAGTTCTACAAGCTAAACTGATTTGGTCCGAAGTTGATTGTATGCATTACATTAGGCACTGAATGAACTCGTGCATTGAGACCCTCAAAGCGCCACACTCGCCCTAGTAAGTCACTATTAGCACTTTTGACTACTCTCCCATCTGTTGGGTTGTTACATCCAGCAACATAGTAGCACAAACTGGCAGAGGCAGCAGAAATGCTAAATGGTGACTTTTGTTAGGGCGACTTACAGTGCCTAAGGTGGTGTCTGACTACTGAGTTCATCCAATACAAGTAACTGAGTTTAGTGACAAAATTGGTAGTTTTGACCCAGGTGCTACTTGGTTTCAAGTTTGGCTAGATGAAGTATGCATGGAAAAACACCAATGCAACTTATACTGTACCTGGGCTATGTGTTTTGCGGATATGAGTTCGACCATCACAAATGATGCATGCCACCCTTGCTTCAAACCAAAAATTTCTAGGAGACCATCGTCAACATGAGCCTCGACGAATCCCCTCTGTGAAAGCAGACAGGAAATGTTTTTGTACAGGTCATTATATGCTCGAAAGAACAAGTACGGAGAAACCTGATTCAGATTGTGGAAAGTATGCAGATGACCTAAAATATGAAATAGTGTGTGTTATTACCTTCTCCAAGTAGTCTGCAGTTGGATTACCCCATGGATTTCTCCCACTTCCATAGTTGTGAAGGTTCAAACAAACGATTGCTCTGACACTGTATAAAACAAAGAAGGAAAAGATCAAAGGTGAACAAACTGACAAATACATGAAAACAGCAGTGAAATCTTTAAATTGATGATGAGGACAAAAGAAGGCAGACTTTAACCTTTTAGGAACAGGGATCTGCTCCCATTCTGAGCAATTAACCTTTTTAATGTGCATCCTCAAGATATTTTTTAGCCCTCTACAGCAATCAACTTCAAGTTAGTACTGATCTTCATTAGATCAAATTGTAAAGAAAGTAAGATACATGAACAAACAAGAGGAAAGTTGCCCTCCTGCTTCCCCACAATGAATCACTGACAAATTTGGTTGGAGATATGCTAACCTCAGACTGGGATCATTAATGCAAGGAGTGAGAAACCAGCCCTGGGTGCAACTGTAACCAGAGTATATTAACTGCACCATACCACAAGGAGATTAAAAGGAATGCCGAACAACTGTTCCCAGAAACACGAAAGTGTAATATCCTGAAATACTTCTTGGGAGTACAAGGACTGTAAATGGTACCAAAAAATGAGTTTGCTGGGCACTAAAAGTGAGAAAAGAAAAAGGTTTGTTCTTTTGGATTTGTCGATACACTAAACAAAACTATTAGAATCTTTTCAACCCCAAAATGGATCAGTTAATTTCAAAAGGGCTTTAGCTTCCATCTCCATCAAGATATCTACTTTCGTAACCGAGGAGGAATGCTGAGTAGGAACATATCCACAGTAGGTTGTCTACAGGATAACGTTAATAAGTCCTCTAGGCAACTCGTAAGGTAATGAGAAAGATCGTCTAACCTTGTTTGCAATGGGACCTTGTGCAAGGTAAGGTTTTTCATTACGTAAATGGTGAAAGCCATAGGCAACTTGGGCATCCATTCCTGTAGTAACAAAGCAACAAAAAGTTAAGCCTCCTGATAGAAACCAAAGTTTCAGTTCCTCTAAAGTAAAAGCATGACAGAGCCTTTTTAGTCCTTTTGACACTATAATAAGGCACACTCAATCAATCTCTTTCAATTAGGTTTACTATGAAGCATGGAATAAGTGCAATAGTTTGACCCAAAAAGAAAGTCAAATATGAATTTTTCTTTTCTGATAAAAATCTAGGACCCGTGGTTACAGCAGTAAAAATGGACAAACATAGACCCAGAGTTGAGCAGTAAGTTAACTGCAATGATATATGCAAACACATTTACCATCACATACTAATAGTATAAGGTATTACCTATGCTGAAGTAGTTATAGAACACTCCTTCGTAGCAAGCCATTTTCTCAGGCAGCCGCCCTTCAACTTCCAAATCCTGAGAATCAACCATTTAAATATCAACAATTGCCTCAATAGGCCATAAGATCATACACTTTAAAAGAATACCCTAATGAAAGGTCTGGCCAGAGGAATTCAAGCTTGCACTGCATTTCTCAGTTGACAGCAGAATTACTTCGATGCAGTAGTATAAACCTGATCAAGTAGGCACTCTTCAGTAGCCTTTAAGGAATAGGGAGCATCCACGACTTGACCTTCAGCCATCGACACCACAACCTGCCAACTGCATCACAAAGCTGTTTAGCGCCAGCTATACCGCACGAAAAAAACATTTTATTTACTCTAAGTTACTGCAACCCAAAACTATTGAATGAGTTCTAGCACCAAAGCATTAGAGCAAGGACCAGCTCAAACAGAAGCCTACAAAGGGTGAAAAGCCATGCCAGACACAACAAGACAACACATACAGACACATAAAAAAATGAGCCTGGATAAGAACCAATTTAACACATTTAGACAATCTAAACCAATGGAGAAAATCCACAGGAGGATGGTGGCAGCTGGCTTACCTATCAAGACGGCAAAGAGGCCCAGCAACCGCCCTATCGAGAGATCGCTTAACAGCTGATTTCCAAGCAAAAGGAAACGAACCTCCCTGAATGATGGGCATACAAACAAGAGGTCAATGAAGAAAACATTAAAAGATGAAAACTTGAAAGACCAAATGCAAAAAAAAAAATTGAAGGCTTATTAGTTATAAATTACCCAACCGAAACTCCTCGACAAGTCGTTGCCTGTACCAAGAGGAATGATCCCTACAGGAGGAACCGGCTGCCTTGCCTCTTTGAGAAGTTCTGCTAGACTTCCCAATATCCAACCAACCGTACCATCTCCTCCAGCAACCTTACCAACAGCAAAAAAATACATTAAAAAAACTCACTCAGTCACTCACTCTCGAAATGACATCACATTTCATCAACAACTAACCACAAAAACAACGGTATTAACAACCCACCATACCATAATTCTCATCTTCTCACGGCACTCTTTGGCACAAAGATCACCAAGGATGGCCATCTTCTCAAGACAGCCCAGCCCATGTCTCACGAATTCATGAGGCTTCACATCTGAGAGGTCAAAAACCTGCATTAACGCATCACTTCACATTTCAACAACCCAAGTTTCCTAACAACTTGCCCCAAGTCAATTCCAATTTCCAAACCCAAGTCCCAGTTCATTTGTTTTTCACTCTGAATTAAACATTAGAGAGTTGTAAAGGAAAGAAAGACTGTATCTTTTCCCCTCACCTGTTCCTCGCTGATTAACTGCTGGAGCCGCTCCTTGAGTACAGGGCCATGGCGGCCACCGCTCTTCGAATTGACGAAGACCACCATGGGGCATTGCGGCGCGTCCTCGGGGACTTTCAGCTCGGCGCTGTTGTGGTGGCGGTCGCAGGCCTCCGCCGCGTCTTTTGACCTAATCGCGTCGACCACCGCCCGCCGGAGGTACTCCGGCATGACGAGCTTCTTCCGAAGCACTTCCTTGTCGATTCGGACCCCCGACAGGCCGCACCCACGGAGCGAATCGATGACGGAGGATCTCGACGCCACGATCCTCGTCGTCGTCGACGAATCCACCGCCGCCGCCGTCGACGATTCCACCGCAGTCGTCGTAGTCGCCGTTGAAGTCGGTGAATCCATATTTCCCTCCCTCTTTATCCTTTTTTTTTTCTCTCTCTCTCTCTCACTTGCTTCTATTATTGGCGGCGGTGAAGGGTTCGCCGGCGGCGGACGAGATCCCCCGAAAAGCGAAGAAGAAGAAAGCAACTCTCTTCTCTCGCTCTCTGTCGCGCAAATGGCGTCGCTCTCTCGAAACTGTTAAAAAGAGGGGAAAAGATTTTCTGAACCGCGCAATTTGTGGGCTGTTATACTTATTTATTTATTTTATGCGTTTGAAATTCATTATTTTTATTTATGTTTTTGTTTCTTAACGAGTATGTTACAGTTTAGTATTTTTTACACATCAAACAAGTAAAATTTGATTACCGAATAAACAACAAAAATCTTACTCAATGAATGACACTAGCAAATATGGCTAGAGTTTCTCTTATTGGTCATATCAAACAAAATCAATTGTTGAGTCTACGGATCGTCTCTCATTTGTTTTCGACTATTGGATAGTACCATATTAGTGTTAAGTATATGAATACGTTACTGTGTTGATCCAACGATTGAAATAAATGATAGACTAACCCAACGATATCATCACAGATTGAAATGACAACTTCAAGTATAATAACTAATAAATTCTTAATCAACGTGTAACTTCCATTGATAATAACCGAAAAATGGGGCTAACTATAATCTTCGATGAAGACGAAAAAAGTTCCCTTTGATGGTTGATTATACTATACGTGCTCATGTATTCCCACCAACACGTACCACTTAACCTCGCAATCAGGAATGAAAAAAAGGATCGAGATGAGAAAGTAGCAGATCACATCTCATAGTTAAACTTCCACTTATGCAAACTTAACGGTTTGTTATTCCCACCAGCAAGCACAATCTTCGATTAAAGAAATATCATAATCACTCATACCATATATACCTGCATTTGCATATACACAATCGTACCATAACGTATCAAGATTATTAAGTATCATAATCCCCACATTTACAGCGATGTGAATGTGGGGGATTTGGTGGAAAGTGGAAATGAGTTCATAATGGTAAGGTAGATCTGGAAAATTATGGGCAAGCAAAGAAGGTCATAAATAAGAGGTTGTTAGTAGGTAAGATCGATCCACAACCACAACTTGCCCAATTGACTCCAATGAGGTTGTTCCAATATTTATGGTGCTCCCAAATTTAGTTGGGGGAAATTCAGCTGTACTCATAAATCCCCTTATTGAAGTCAGAGATCTGTCAGTTTCCTCTTCTGTTTTTACTTTTCACCACAGTAACTTTCCTTTTCCGGTAAACGTCACGTTACTGAGCAAATGGGAAGAAGATTGACCACTTAACCGTCAACAGATTGATCCGCCCGCCAGCTGCCCGTGCTTTCGGGGTTGGGGTCCCACCGGCGGGAATTTTAAATTGCCGTTGCTTTCTGTTACTTTTTTATTCAAGCGGGACCCACCTTCACCGGTAAACCTTAATTCCTGTCTGCGTCCTCTAGAAGGGGCGGAATTTCTCCTTTTCGTAGGATGGGAGGAAGAAGAAGAAGAACAAGAAAAAGAGAACACATGGACTAAAGATTTTTGCATGATCGTTGGTAAAATGATAGGACAGTCCAATCGAGAAAATTTCTTATTGAAGTCTAAATCAGTAAATGACTTTCAGCGGTACAGTTGTTGAACCATGCTTCTTAAATCCCATATTGATGGTTCCGGTACGATATTACAATCCTTAATCCGCAGGGTTTCTTGTCATCTACGATAGTCTCTGCTTCTTATATACAGGTAGGTAGATACTAACGACACTTCTGTTTTGTTTCTCTTTGGTCTGGAGCGACACACGATCAATACCATGTTAAAACATGGGCAGGTGGGCTGCAACAATGCTAAGTTCCATTGTCTGTCGAAAGACGACCAATCCAAAGAGCAAAAGGAAACAAGACCGAGTACAAAGCAAAGATTCAACAATGAAACCGGCCGAAGATACTTGATTCAACCTGAGAAATGATTTAGAAGGTAATGACAGTTTTGTAATCTAGTCTGTGTTAATCGGGTCAATGCCTAAACTATTGATGCTTTTTAGCTACCTAATGGTGTATTGTAGGAATGTAAATGTGCTTGTGCCTTGTGACCTAACCCAAGTTGTCTACCCACATAGAGTAACTGGAACGATTTCGGCGATCACCATTTGGGACACTGTCATTGCCGTCTGATGGTTTCACAACAGCTTTCTCGACAATCACATTGCTGTTATCGTCGATCCTGTATGCAATATCGACGCCCTCCAGGAGAAGATGATAGACTATGCCTCCTGAGCCAACTGGATCAATATCATCATCCTCGTGATTGTGCTGTTCACTGAACTCCTCATCTGGTGAAGCAGCAATTGATGGCAACTCAGTAGCTCCATCATGAGGTTGGTTTCGTTGGGAGACCGAGCGAATGTCCCACGAGAGCACCTCTTCGATCAGGCGTCGCAGCTCTGCTGCAGATGAGTACAGCGATTTCTTTCCCTGCAGTGGAAACGAGAAAGAAGGAATTGAGTGGTGAAGTTGATGAAGCTCAATAACTGTTTGATCCGAGACCCAGAAGCTCACCATTCTCCGCCAGCAATCATCGAGGGATGAAGCAAAGCCCTCGGAGAAGTTGATTGAGGTTACTGCTAACATGCCATCCTCCTGGATCAGGATTAGACACAACTTTTAAATGAAGCAGGACAACTTTTTTTTGTTTGTCAAAGAAGCAGGACAAATTTATATACCATAAGGATCAAAAGGTTGATCCCATTTGATCTGCAATGTTATTTTCAAGAGAATTTGAGAAGGTTTATACAGATGGAGTGGAGGCCATTACCATTACCCACTTCGGCACTGTTGCTTCGGTGATGCTGTCACAGTAAGGGAGATAAGGTTTGATATCAAGAACTGGCTGTTCATAGAAAAAGATGAGTAACAAGTTAGTAACAACCATCAACGACAGTTAAAAAGAAGTCTATCGACTACCATCAACGAATGTAAAACTTACTGTGCCATCAACTAGATCCACACCAGAGAGCAGAACCATGTTTCCTTGTACAGCTTCTACCTGCAGAGCAACCAACACATCATGCATAAGGCAAACCAAAAGCATCAGGGGTCGTCCCGACGTACGATTTCAGAAAAGAATTCGTATAATCCATCCGTTTCAAATCTACCCACTCCAGAATGACATCCGTTTCAACAATCACACATCCAGACAACACGTAGTAATCTCGTGCATTACCTTTGCAACGGTGAGGCCAATGGGGCAAGGTCGATGAGGAGTTCTGGTAGCAAACACTCCCATTCTACCACCTTTCAGCCTTGGCACTCTAACCTTAACACATTCCAAACATTAAGCAACACAAAGAGACCAAACCAGAAAGTAAACAACAATTCTTTTGATTGTCACCATATATCCTCTACTTATTTACCTTGGCCTTAAATTTTGATCTAGATGGTTCCTTCCACAACTTATCCAAATCTGTGTTCAAGTGAAACACATAGATTATCCAGCAATGAGAATACTCAGTTAGACCTTCTAGTGAAGCTGGTGGAACCCTAGATGGGTTGAACATTAAGCATGCCCTTGCTAGAGGTACTACCAAAGGCTGCCTTGGAGTTCCATTTCTGCATAGACACAAGTGAGAATTCTCTTACCATAATTGGTTTCAAACTCAATGCCAATTTGTTCATCAGATTCCGAACTAACTAACGAACCTGGTGGAGAAGCAAGACTGGACAGTACCAATTGGCATCATTGGATAAGAACTCTGCTCCAAATTCTCAGACTTGTGCTGTGCTAGAGCTTTCCTCAATGCCTGCATGCAGAAAGTTTCACAAATTTTAAGGGGAAAAGGAGAAACGTTTCGAAGGCAGTGCAATGATAAGAGAAAATATACCTGTTGAGCGCGAATTCGGCCTTGCCTCTCAGCGGCCGATTTCTCAGTCGACGATTCAAGAGCATTCTGAAGCTCTTCCACCTTTGATTCCAGCTCTTTAAATCTTTCCCGCCAACGATAAACTGAAAGCCGCCAAAAAATCAAATTTCTTGCTGTAATGGCGAAAACCCATTGGCCAATCACCAAAAGGCTCTCCACTATATAGAAGAAAAAAATTTAGAACTTACTAGACATCGCGGCGAAGGCGGCGGCCGCGGCCGCGACGATGGGTATTAACCATTTTAATCGCTCGTCGGAACCCATGTAATGGTTCCCTCAGTTTACGACTCTGCAGCTCCAGCTCGGCCGGGGACTAGGGTTTTGCTAGTAAAGTGGTAAAGTTTGGATTTTTAATTTGCGTATATAAAGAATAAACAACTTGCACTCTCTCTCTCTCTCTCTCTCTCTCTCTCTCTCTTCACCCTCTGCCTGTTTTGTCTGCTTTGACCATCTGGGGTGTTTTCTTTCCATGCCGTTGCTCGATTAGGTAAGCTTGTTAATCATTTTATCCATCTCTCAGTCTCTCTCTATCTCTCTTTGATTTGGCTTAGGCTTATGTCTGGATTGGTACTTGGTTGGCGCTTGCGTTTCGCTTTTCACAGCGTTATGTAGTTCGCCATTATCAGTGGAGTCTTGCTGAATGCTGAGTACTGCTGTTTGAATGGATAAAGGGAAACCAATGTGGAAGTGGAATCTTGTGCTGGCTATCTTCACATTGCTTATGACCTCCATTTTCGTGCTGCTTTCAGTGTTCACTCTGCCGAATTACCTCGAGAACTCATTTGATCTGTTTTGGCTTAGCTCCGGATTCAGCAGTAGCAGCAGCTTGAATCTGCATTGGCTTCAGTCCCATCCATTCAGGTTCTCTACTACTCCAGCTCACTGATTCTCTTCTGCTTTGACTTCTGTAGGCTGTAGCTTTGTTCTTCTTGGTTTGTATGCAGCTTATTTCTAGAGTGCTTTTCACTGACGAAGCTTTGGCTTTGCCAAGAATCTTAGTGTGGACTATAGAGATGCATCCAAAAAGAAAGGAACCGTTACCTACCCAACTTGAGTAGACTTAACTTTTATATGCTTACTTCTCCAGTGACGAAGATAAGAATGGAACAATCACTTTAACTGGAGTTGTTTATCTTTTGTTGGTTCCCTTTGCAATTCTGTTCCTGCTTGTAGTCTGTTTCCTGCTTTGCTAGAAATGCCCTATTAATGATCTCAAAGAAATCTGCAGGAAACTAGCTGAGGTCTACTACCCACATACCACAATTCAGAAACCTTGGAATATGAGCGAGGAGGATCGTTCTCCTTGGTCACCATTGAGGGCTGAACTCACATTTGCAGCGAATTCTGCACCATTCAACAGTTGCCATGCTTCTACCATTGTTGAGGTTAGGCAGTTCATCTATAGAGCTTATCTCTTGTTATTATCTTTTGAAGTCTTCTGCAGACTAAGCAGTTTTGTACTTGGTCTATGCTAAAATGGATTGTGCTTTATGTAGGTAGCGAAAGGCCATTTTTTGGCTGCCTATTTTGGTGGCACATCAGAAGGAGCCCCTGATGTGAAAATTTGGATCCAGACATACAAGGTATATGTGTTCCCGTACTTCCAATATTTACCACTGCCCTTTCCATGAACGGGTTAGGAGTACTCGTTTGAGACCTTACAAAGTGACGAACTTTGATGTCCAGGATGGAATTTGGAAGCCTCCTGTAATTGCTGATGAACAACCTGATGTGCCCATGTGGAATCCTGTTCTGTTCAAACTACCATCAAATGAGTTGTTGCTGTTCTACAAAGTTGGCCAGGAAGTGCAAAAGTAAATAACTTTCAGGACTTGATATGTTTATTGCCACCTGAAAATTTTCAGTCTTGTTTGCTTTATTAAGTGTTTTGGCTTCTGATGAATTTTTCATTCAGGTGGAGCGGATGTATGAAGAGATCATACGATAAAGGTGCCACTTGGACAGAAAGAGAGCAACTTCCTCCAGGTATATTAGGGCCATCAAAGAACAAGGTATGATACTTGTGTTTTAAGACATCAGTCAACAAGTTTGCAGGTGTTTTGCTTATGCGCACTCTTAAAATGATGCCTCAATTCATATTCTTCTGCAGCCTCTCCTGCTTGAAAATGGGAGCTTGCTTTGTGGGTCATCTGTAGAAAGCTGGAATTCTTGGGGATCATGGGTGGAGGTTGGTGGAAGTTCCATTCTGAAAGTACCTTGAATCCATTGGAGAGCAAAAGTTGACATCGTTTTTGTTTTTGTGCCATTCATGTGGGATCAGGTGACTGCAGATGCTGGCAGGACATGGAAGAAGTACGGTCCGATTTACATCAAGAACGAGTCCCTCAGCGTGATTCAACCCGTACCATACAAGACCTCAAAGGGCACGTTACGAGTCTTGATGAGATCGTTTGCTGGCATAGACAGAGTCTGCATCTCGGAATCCTTGGATGGTGGTGTGAACTGGGGATATGCAACCCCCACCAAAGTCCCCAACCCAAACTCAGGTTCTTAATCCACAAGCTTACTGTATCCTCCTTTAGATCAGGTTACAGGTTTGGCATAATCCTGTTTTTCAGCAGTCGGGGTCAGTAGTCTATAAGGTTGTGTGTTATTCGAGTTACGGGCCAATCAATTTGACAAAGTATCTTTTCATTGCCAATGTGTAGGCATAGATGGAGTCAAGCTCAGAGATGGCAGGGTTCTCCTTGCTTATAACACAGTCTCCAGGGCAGTGCTCAAAGTTGCAGTCTCCAAAGACGACGGAGACTCGTGGCACGACGTTGTAACGCTAGAAGAACAGCAAGGGATGGAGTTCTCTTACCCTGCAGTAATCCAGGCTAGCGACGGACTGGTTCACATCACTTATACCTACAACAGGACACAGATTAAGGTAAGCCTGTTGTTACATACTTTGTGATGAGAAATAAAAATCGAATCTTGATTGCGCACAGATCTCTTACACACACTTTTGTATTTCATTTATGCATTGCAGCATGTTGTACTCCAACCAAGTTGAAGCTGTTGAGAAGATCCCCATGGTGAAAGAAATGCTTGCACTTTGTATCACCTTGCTTTGTAAATCTCCTGTCTTTTCCTTGAGGATTCAAAATGTTGTGTAACGTTACGAAATTGGATGATGGAATGTGTCTTAACTTCTATCGAATGGTGAAATGTGCTACATTCGTTTTTATGGAGCAACAATAAAGCATACGCTTCACAAAAACAGAAAAAATTTAGTGAAAAGGTCTGACGTGTACATCTCAGGAATCACTCAATCGCTGACTGTATTATCTCATTTCCATTGCCACGCCAGAGGATGAAAAGAGCGGCGGAGGAAAGAAAATGGGGTGTTCGACTGCCTATCTTGCGGCCTCCGCCACCAGCTCCGTTTGTTTCCTTCGTCGCCTGTCACCAACCGGTGGAACTCTCAACTTTCCGTTTTCAGCTACTTACGGTGGCGGGAGAATACGGAGGCTGAATTGCCGACGAAAGTCGGCTGTAATGTGTAAAACCACCGGCGGCGGGACTAAGGACAAGGAATCTGCTTCACCACCAGATGTCGATCTCGACAACCTGGAAGATGCCGGAGGCGGGCGGCAGCAATCGTCGATGGAGAAATTGGTGGAGACGGGAGTGTTGGTGTCGCCTTTCTTCTTCTGGGGCACCGCCATGGTGGCGATGAAGGAGGTTCTGCCCGTGACCGGACCGTTCTTCGTCGCGTCGTTTCGGCTGATTCCATCGGGTTTGTTGCTGGTCGCGTTTGCTGCGGCAACTGGGAGGCCGTTCCCCTCTGGAATCAATGCTTGGCTCTCCATCACGCTTTTTGCCATCATTGATGCTTCCTGTTTTCAGGTTGTTGCTGCTGCTCTTTACTTTGCTTGTTTCTGAACCAATTTTTGGAGGTTGGATTGGGACCTCTAGGTTTGAAACTAGAAGTAATTGTGTGTTTGTGGAGCAGGGTTTTCTGGCTGAAGGTCTGCAGAAGACTGCTGCAGGTTTAGGCAGCGTAAGTTTCCCTCTTGACACATAGCTTGATTACATTTTCCCTCTTGTTCTGAAAATGATAACATTGTTTGAGAATCCATGGCAATGCATTCTGATGAGCTCCAACTTTGACATTTGTTGAGAAACTTGATTGGATTACTGATGGTGGCGGTGTTTACCTCAGGTGATTATTGACTCCCAACCGCTGACCGTGGCTGTACTTGCAGCCCTGCTGTTCGGCGAATCCATCAGCTATGTGGGAGCAATAGGGCTTGTCCTTGGTGTCGTAGGACTTCTACTTCTGGAGGTGAAACATTGATTCCTGCTCAGTATGTCGTTCTGTTTGTCTTTGTTGCTGTTCTTTTGGATGTGAGCTTGACTGCAAGCACTTCTCTAGCACCAGGGTATAAATTGACTGGTCTCCTTGCTTAACATCCACCTCTTGTACAGGATACAAGTCTGTTTGTTGTTGGTCTACTACCATGCATGAATGTATGATCTTTTCCTTGTAATGTGTTGCTTGGGCTATGGCGTTTACAACTTAGGCAGCTCTGCGGGTGCATGGATTGGATGCTCGTTACTAAATGTCGATGAAATGCTTATCTTGATACCCGCTGAAGAACGAAAAGTGGCTTTTTTTTTTTGTGGCAGGTTCCAGCACTTTCGTCTTTTGAAGGGACTAGTTTCTCTCTGTGGGGAAGTGGAGAACTGTGGATGCTTCTTGCTGCACAGAGCATGGCAGTTGGCACCGTGATGGTCCGCTGGGTCTCGAAATATTCAGATCCCGTCATGGCAACTGGATGGGTATGTATGTATTCTGAGGCAAATGGATTTCGTCAATTGCAGTTGAAATGTGATAGATCAACTTATGAGTAAGCTTCTGTTGCAGCACATGGTCATTGGTGGTCTGCCTCTTGTGGCAATCTCGATTCTCAATCACGATCCGGCCTTTAATGGCAGCCTGAAGGATCTCGCTGCGAGCGACGTTTTGGCACTGCTTTACACCTCTATTTTCGGAAGCGCTGTCAGTTATGGTGTATACTACTACAATGCAACAAAAGGTATGAATTGTGTACTGAACTTACAAATTGGCTATGCAGCCGAGCTTTTTTGTTTCGTCGTCTGCATGCAGGATCTATTAAGGTGTTGCCTGGAATCAATCTGGCAATCGAAACATGATCCGCCTGAGAGGTGTTTGAGTTCCGGATTTCTTTTAAAATACTAATCTGTTCTTTGACCACCAATTTCAGGTAGCCTGTTGAAGCTCAGTTCCCTTACATTTTTAACCCCAGTATTTGCTTCCGTTTTCGGGTGAGACTAACTAACTAACTAACTAACTAACTAACTAGAAATGCCCTTTCCCTTCTCTACTCCCACTTCCCTAGTTGTTTTGTTTAGGACAGAAAATCTGCAGGTTCCCTGATTGTATTGCTAATTTTTTACACCTGCAGGTTTCTGTATCTGAGTGAGACCTTTTCACCTGTCCAACTTGTTGGCGCGGCTGTTACCCTGGTCGCTATATACATGGTTAACTACCGTGGTGGTGATGTTGAATGACTCATCTGGGTTTGCAGTGCGAAGCAAGAAACACAACTGCAGCGGCCTCCAGAATGTTTGGGTTGAAAGTTCTCGTATAGCACGTTGAACGCGGGTAGAAGGGCATAAGAATGAAGCATCTACGATCCCGGAAACACTCTATACCACGAGATCACCACGCTCTGGAACACTTGGCTCCTTCGCTGGCTGGTTGGAGTCCTTCCTCCCCCTGAAATCTGGCCATAGCTGCAGAGATGCTTGCTTTTAGGGAGTTGAACGTATATACATGTATGTTAGTTAGTTAGTATGACGTTTAGAAACAACCTTTTGCTTGAAAATGGCCAATGTTTTGAATGGAGTACAGGGTGAGTTGAGTTGTGGGCATCAAATTTCCAAAATCACTCCATTTTTCACCTAGGTGCAGACAAGTTGGGCTATCACAATAAGGCCCATTGTGATGGTTTCTACGAACTGAAAACCCATCATAGCCCATTCTACTTAGATGGGCCAAGGTCCATGGTGATCCCATCAACCCCATGAGTAGCTGTTGATCATCGTTGGCAGTGCAACTATCCGGACCAAACTCATGAGAACCGAACCTTATCCAATAGTGAAATACATAATAATAGAATTAAAAGATCTGGTGGCTATTGATACATTGGTTTGATTCAAATGTATGTTCAGTCTATTTTCTTTAATATTTATAAAATTCCTTAGACTAAGAGCCGAACTGAATTACAATTCAATTCTGTATAATTTGGTTCGGTGTGGTCTGGTCTGGTCCGTACCAAATTGTTGTACACCTAATTGCGCAGAAAGTGTTTAACACCCTTAGGATGCGCGTTTAAATAACTCATTCTTATACTATGGTAGAATCGTCGTTACTATTTATTTATTTCCGACTTTCCGTGTATTTGATGTTTTCCGTATTAAACACGAATAACATGTACTCGAATCACGTCAGGAAGAAATAAGCATGCATGCAGTAGTTGAAAAAACAAGAACTCGATGAATGAGTATTAAACTATTAATGATGCAATTTCTCCATCATGCAGATTACGATAAAACCCTTTAATATTCGAGATCAAACACAAGCGTAATCTGCATGCATGCATGCAGATATTGCATGATCCTTAGCAATATATACTCAACTACTGGAACTACACCTCCCTTTGCGCTAATCGATCATCAACAACAATGGCGGCAGCAACCGGCAACACGACCAACTGCCACGTGGAGCTGGACTTCGTCGGACGATGGAGGCACCGCTACTCCCTCCCGCCGTCGACCACGGTGGCGCAGCTGAAGCAGACCATCCTCCACGACTTCGGCATCTCCCCGGAGAGGATCACCCTCAGGCTCCAGCTCCTCCCCTACCCGACGACGATGGAGCACCAGACTCTAGCTGCCTACGGGGTCACCGCCGGACAGACCACGTGGCCGATCGCCGTCGACGTCGCGAAGATCAACGTGGTGGTCAACTTCCTCAACCTCGACAACATGTGGTACTTTGTCGTCGCCTGCTACGAGTTCGACTCCGTGGCCGAGTTCAGGAGGCTCGTCGTCGGCAACCTGAGGGCGACGGGCGTGGACGAGATCGGGCCGGAGGATATGGAGCTGTACTGCGGCGGCGTGAGGTTCGGCGACGGTGGAGCGCTGCTCTCTCAGTACGGTGTCCGGGACAAGGTTTGGGTGGACGTCAAGACCACGGAGGAGGTTCGAGAGCTCCGACGTCGTTTCACTAGCGCTCTGTGATTGGTTGACCAGCTTAGAGTCTCTTTGGTTATTATTAGGTCGTGGGTTTAATTACTATCAGTCTATGTTGCTCTCTTTTTTCGAGGATGGAAAATCACGACCTCTCGATCGAAGGTTCTGATATCATATTAACGAACAAAACCATCTGATATCATATTAACGAACAAAACCACTTTATCGGTGCGATCTTAGGACATGTGTTGTGTGAATGTCAAGACCGGCAAGGGGATTCGTGACGGTCGAGCCCGTAACACCATGTCAACCAAATTGGGTCGTGACGATGAGGCCCACACCATGTTGGATCTGCAAGTCCAGGATTGCAATACAGCTTGTCTCCTATGATGGGCTAAGGCCCATGGTCGATGAAACCGTGTGGCGACTGTGCGCTGCTATTGGTAAAAAGGGACGAATTGCCCCAATTTTGGGGGGGCCTTTTGGTCCCATTTGATGGACAATGGTTCCTGAGTTTGTCAAAGGAGTGTTCGTTTGGAATTTGTTTTCATGGTGGAAGTGAAGTGATAGAGACCAAAAGTTGCTTCGAAGAAAACGTGTGATTTGTAGGTGAAGTATTAGCATTTCACATTGGTGAACTAAAACAGTTTTTAAGTCTTTCAATTTATGTCAAGGAAATCTTGGCTTTTTTCTGAATAAGACCATGGTGAAAATCACATAAATTTCTTTTTTGACATTCGGCAATTTTTGTTTCCGATTTGGATCTAGATCGGGATAATAAACGCGATGGTACGACTTAAGTTTAGGTCATGTACATGTTCGTTGTCTTCTTATTTTGATAGTTCATTTTCCTTCAAGTACATCAAAGAGTAGTATGGTGCGGCCAACTAGTCTCCCTCCAATCAACATAATTTGTTATTAAAAGTTTGGATGTTCATATCAAACTCTAATTGAGCTAGACGTATTTTTTATCATTAACTCTTCCAATTTCTTGCTGGCGTTTGACATAGTTAATTTTCATCGAGCCGAATGAACACAAGGGGGACGTGGAAATCAATTGGATACCAGTTCGAATTACCTATTTTAATTCTCGTGCTTTCTTAAGTTACCTACTTACACAACTAGCAAAAGCCTCTACAACCAATCTCAAGCTGGATGATCAGGCAAATCAACTCTCCGGAGAAGGAAAGATGGATCGAGGATAGACCACTGATTTTTTCATAAAAGCGCCTTACCTTTAAGGATGTAAGTGGTGGACAGATTGTAGTTTGGTGGGCCTCTGGCATATGTTATCATGTCAGACTCGCCTGAATAAATTTTCTTATTCACAGGGAGGAAAAAAAGAATCAGGCTAGAACACGATTTATACTTGGAAGAGTTTTCGTCGAAGTCAATTACCTCCTTCTGGGCTCGACAATTGAGGCCAGAGGCAAATGATCCACTTGATGAATAACCATCCGGATATAAGGGGAAAAACCAATGCTAGATAAGTCACGACATGATTCTGTGTCGAATCAAGCTATAAATGATTCGTCTCATGGACGTCCTAATCGAGCATCAGAAAAGAGAAGTACTTAAAAATTAATCAATCAAAACAAAGTATGTGCAAGCTATAAGGATATCTTTAAAGGATATTTCATATTCAACCGACAATATGCACGCACGCATATGCATTCTGTTGCCACACATATAATTAAAGTTTTATCACCTTTTTCTAGTCTTCATATATCGATAAGCATTGCTAATGTACATGTGAGAGGATTATAATTCACATCCAACCATCACGTCCTGAAATCAAACTTTAAAAACCCAGAATCATCAAACGAAAGAAATATCAATCCAACAAGGCGAACAAATGTTGGCTGTTAAAAAGGGAAGGTAGAGGAAAATGAATGAAAGCAAAGAACTAATGCTATGTTTGGTTGGAACCGAAACTCTGACGGCAATCCCGGGAGTTTTGCACGTCATTGGGCAAACACGACCTAAGTCTAGCTTTGGCTTGGCTCTACACCCATCCCCCAACCTTTTTGCATTAAATGGGCAAAAAAAATTCTGCCACTCCTTTTTTTCCTTTCTGTGTTCTGCCATCCCATTTAATGCATTCATTCATTCATTCATTCATTCAAAGAACAACAGAACGAGTAGTCTACCAGTCCTCCACAGTTCAATTTTCCCGGCCGGCAGCAAAGACTGGAGCTTCCACATGATGTGGTGTGGAATTATTATTGGGAAGAAGAGTATACATTTGCTTTTATCATTATTGGGCCGACATACGTCGACCATGGGCCAGCCCGGACACGCAGCCCAGGATGTGGTTCCCTCGTCCTCTTGCTGCATGGACATGAGTCCTTCTCCATCACGTAGAGAGAATACCTTGAGCAAAACCAAAACCCTAGCTACTGTATCCTCTCATATATATTGTGATGTACAGCCGCTTGGCTTAGCAAGTTAACAAGTAATAATATCAGTAGCTGGAGAGGCTTCCCTCTCCCGTGGACTAGTCCCGACACTTCGGGGATACCACGTAAACATCGTGTCTTTCGTTTTATCGCTTTCGTTACAACTCAGGATTTATCATGGTATCAGAGCGCTCGTTCTAGGGCGCCACTAAGTCAATCGTTTCGTCATCGCCATGAGCGATACTGAGGAGACCAAGAACTCAGGTGAGAAGAAGGTCGTCTCGTTTCCCGGAGGGTCGTCCACTTCGGCGGCAGTCATGGACCCTTCGTCGGTCCTCTATCTTCACCCGTCGGACAGCACGGGGCAACTCCATGTTGGGGAAGTACTCACCCCCACGAATTATGGTGAATGGGTAGTCGATATGACTGACTCCCTCATTGTTAAGAACAAGTTCGGGTTCGTCGATGGCTCGATCGTCAGGCCGAAAGATGAGCCAGAGAATGGACCATGGGATCGCTGCGATGCGGTCGTCAAAGGCTGGTTACGTACCTCCATGAACAAAGAGGTACGCAGCAGTGTTAGGTTTGCGAAAACATCGAGAGAAATTTGGTTGGATTTGAAGGAACGGTTCGGCCAGGGATCACTCACCAGAGGGTATGAGCTGCGGAGACTAGTTGCTGGACTTTGGCAAGAGAAGCTCTCCGTATCTTCATTCTACACCCAGCTGCGCAGCTACTGGCAGGAGGCGCAGTCCATCTATCCTCCTGAAAGATGCACTTGCGGGCAATGTAGCTGTGGCCTTGAGCGGCGGACAAGGGACAGGGAAGATTGCACAAGGTTGCTGGATTTTTTAATGGGCTTGGACGAGAACTTCACCACTGTTCGTTCCCAAATTCTGGCCATGAAACCGCCGCCTTCCCTCGCTGAAGCATTCAATATCGTGTCCAATGACGAGAAGCAAAGGCTGCTGGCCCAACAAAGACGGCCCGGCGCTGAAGCTGCGGCGTTTGCTGCACGAGGAGAATCTGGTCGGGCAGATTCCGATCGAGAATCCGGCTCTCGTCCTCGCACGAAGTGTACTCATTGCGGGAAGACAGGGCATGTCAAGGAGACATGTTACGAGCTGATCGGTTGGCCGCCTCGCAATAATAGGTCGGGATCGACTGACAAAGGAGAGCGTGGCAGGGATGATCGGCCGAACAGAGCCACGTCTGAACGAGGTGAACGCAGGCCTCGTCGTGGCAGTCAAGAAGGAGCTCCGCGCGCAGCTCAAGTGGACAGTGAGGCTAGTCCTGTTCCGGGTTTCACAATTGCTCAGCTGGAGCAATTAAAGAAATTCTTTGACCACAACAAATCGGTCGAGGACCCCGCGGCCAACATGGCAGGTAATTCTTTTGATTCTCTTGAGTGGTTGATCGATTCTGGATGTAATGAACACATCACGACCAGTTCAGATTTGTTATGTGATGTGGTTTCGAATGGTGAAAGTCAGCCTGTTCGGCTGCCAAATGGAGACCGGATTCCTGTTCAGCAGGTTGTCAGTGTAAAGCTTCCTACAGGGCTCACTCTTGACCGTGTTTTGCACGTCCCTCAGTTTCGGTGTAACTTGTTGTCCGTAAGTCGTTTACTGCAGGATAATAATGTTGCATTGGTTTTTATGCGTGACATGTGTGTGCTTCAGGACTTACGCTCCAAGACAGTGATTGGGAAGGGTGAGCTTCGCGATGGCCTTTACTATTTGAAACTTTTTGGTGATCATGAGTATATCGCATTAGCTGCTGGTCGTGGCGTTGGTGTGGCGCAGGAGCGGTGGCATGAGCGCCTGGGCCATCCCTCGCTCGAGATGATGTCTCAACTTAGTTCCATTGTTCCTTTTACCATTAGCAAACATTTATCTCCTTGTCATCCTTGTTCAAGGGCTAAACAGAGTCGGCTACCATTTCTTCCAGTTCGATTAAAACCATGGGATGTTTTGATTTGGTTCACATGGATATTTGGGGTCCTTATAAACAAGTCTCTCTTAGTGGGGCTCATTGTTTTCTCACCATTGTTGACGATTACAGTCGTGGAGTATGGGTATATTTGCTCAAGTTTAAGTCTGACGTTGCTCGATTTGTTCTCATGTTTTGTGAAATGGTTCGCACTCAGTTTGGCCGGCAGGTTCGTCGCATCCAGGCTGACAATGGGTTAGAGTTCAACACCACTTCGTTGAGAGATTACTATGATCGAACGGGCATAATTTTGCAAACCAGTTGCACGGACACCCCCCAGCAGAACGGGGTTGTCGAGCGCAAACATCGGCACTTACTTGACACTGCTCGAGCCCTTCGCTTTCATGCTGGGCTGCCAGTCCGGTTCTGGGGAGAATGTGTGCTCACGGCCGTTTATCTCATCAACAGGCTTCCTACTTCTGCCACAGGGAAGACCCCGTTCGAAATTCTCTTTGGTCACACTGCCCGTTCGAAATTCTCTCGTGCCCGCTCCGGCAAATCGGCGCATCGTTGATTCCAAATGGGTATTTAAGATCAAGTATCGTCCTGATGGTACCATCGAGCGCTACAAAGCGCGACTTGTTGCAAAAGGGTTCACACAGGTCGAAGGGGTGGATTTTCATGATACTTTCGCTCCGGTGGCCAAACTCACTACCT